GTTCCCATTAGTATGTAGACAAACTCGCCAGCGAAAAGTGCCAGAACGCAGCCCGAAGCGTACAGCGTGTACCAGCTTTTAAGGGTAACCCTGGCTTTGTCGGGGCCGCGATGCAAGCCCCGAACATGCAAAGTGCCGGTGAAATGGCACAGGAGGCCATACCATTTGAAGTGGCCGGCCATGGAGCAAGTCATTCTGTCAGACCACTCACCACGTGTCACCGCTAGGCCTTGATTACTCAGAAAACGCGTAGAGACACGTCGTTCGCTTTAAGCTTAACCAAGTTGCAAGCGTGCGAACGTCATTCGCTTTAGTCACGTTCTGCCTCAAATTGGGGGTTCGGGAGCAATAGAAGCAAACGTGTTCGTCACAAGTCGAGTAAACAAGTATAAAGGGGGTTACAATTGACATTGGCGTCTTTCAAGAACAAAATTAATGATAATAATGCCACCAGCTTTTGTGGGTCGGGTCAATTTTGTGAAAGTGCACTTTGTGTTGATTGAACTCGCCTCTCCGCTAGCACTGAAATGTTGTTTACATCGATTTTGAGCCAACTCAATGCTCTTATTTGATTACGCGTCAACAATCTCGCGTGTGCAAAGGGCGGACCTCCCCAAGCAGCCATGTTCGCATCAAGGGCAACATCTAACAATAAAAAAGGAAGCTTGCCCTGAAACCACAATTGACCTTCACCAAGTAACTCAGCAGCAAGTAATACAGGCCTTGGCCCATAACCCAGTCTGGATTATGGGCAATAAGATCAATCAGTTCATGAGCTCGAACATCAAATAGTTTGTTCTGAAAGCTGGCAAACGCTTGTAAGAGGCCTAGCGCGTGCAGTCATAATTTTCGCTCTATAAGAGATCATATATCAACCACGGCTTGCATCACTGCAATGGCTACTTCAGTAATTAGTTAAATTATGAAGCTTACATTCGTAGACTGCGAACTAATTGCTCCAGAATAAGTCTAAGATCTCCGAAAGCTTTAGCCATTGTCGTTACGTTCCATATATGTAGGAACATATAAATGACTTTTTCACTAATTGATGTTTGTTAACGTGTGTGCAAAGAAATTAAGGCAGACTAGCGTTCTCGAATTCCTGACTCCATCAAAATGTGGCTGCAGTGACTTGAAAACGAACTCGCGTTCAGCAGCGCGAAGTTGACGGCCACGAGCGGCGATTGCGAGATATCAAGTATAAATTAACCTGCTATCTGCTATAGCCTAATACATACTCACCAGGAACCAGTCGGAAACCAGATGGAACCACTTCCTTCGAGACAGGGACCAGCTGATTCTACTTGGTCTCCTGCTTGTCCCTGTTGGGTATGAAGCGAACTACATAGCGTATACCTCTGTTTCTACTAGATGTCTCACAATCTCCCTGAATGGTCAAGCTTACACAAGTCCCAACCAGATGGTGCCAGTTCTTTACCGATTGCATGTGTTCGATGATTGATGATTGATATGTGGGGTTTAACGTCCCAAAACCACCATATGATTATGAGAGACGTCGTAGTGGAGGGCTCCGGAAATTTCGACCACCTGGGGTTCTTTAACGTGCACCCAAATCTGAGCACACGGGCCTACAACATTTCCGCCTCCATCGGAAATGCAGCCGCCGCAGCCTGGATTCGAACCCGCGACCTGCGGGTCAGCAGCCGAGTACCTTAGCCACTAGACCACCACGGCGGGGCAAATTGCATGTGTTCACCTGCACGTCTATACGTACGTAATCAGATTGAATCTGCAGCGGCTGGCAATCTATTAAGTGGCGTTCACTAGCTCAAAGCTATGTCATCAACCACGCGCGGCAGTAACGAGAAATTGAGTATATAAAAACACCGTAAACTACTTTACACCCACCCGGGATGAGTTCAAAATCAGGCGGAACCAGTTGATTCCAGATCAAACTGGCTTCATCTGGATTCCCACTGATCTGTTTTGAGTATGAAATGGGCTACAGACTAAATAACAGAGTTTCCACTAGATATCTTGCAACCACACCGGACGGTCGCACTAGGACCAGTTGGAATTGGTTGGTCCCAGTTCATTAGTAGCGCCACATGTTCCCCTGCAGGTTACGCATAAGTACAGTGGCCTGACCGAATGCGTTTGTTCCACGAGCGCTTGCGTGATCCAATCAGCTATTCATTATGCATGTTCGTGCATGTTTGTATGTGTCTGTTATATACGCATGCAAAATCAAAAATTTTTGGGGTCATGTGAACAACCCCTCTGCTTGCGACCCACATCAGATATGTCTGTTGCGAACCACATCTCATGATGTTCTGAACATTTACTTCAATATTTCTGACCTGAGGCAGCCAGCTCGAGCTGCGAAAAGCAAAAGGGCTGCCCCTAGCGTCGTCGAAACATTCCTTCCTCCATTTACCGTTATCAAGCGGTGGAAGCGATTGCTTGAGTCCCTCCATCGAACTACAGCGAGTTTACGACGTACTGTGGCGTTTCGCGAGTATTTCTCTACTTAGCATGTGAAGGCAACATGATCACCATTACGCCGCAGCAGTATTTTTATAGTAGGCTTCAGCTTTTGCTATAATTGCTCCGTATTCTCCTCGTTCAACCACTACAACACTAGGTGGCGACACAATCCAGCCACTCACCTTTACGCCCACCACAACCGCTAATGGACAAGCGATGAAAAAGCTTGCGTGCAACCTTTTCGGCCTATGCATGCTTCAACTACGACACATTGTACACACCATTAGTAAACGGTGTAACCTGTCTCGGCAAATGACTTAGATATCTCAACGATAAGTGACTATCGGCATCAACATGGTGCAAAAAATCTAATGACGTCACAGATTGTTTTCGGAAGGGGGAGTTCAGGCAAATCAAAGAGATTTCCTGCGCCTTCCAGATGTCTCAGGCAAGTGCACATTAGATCATGCGACTCTAAATCCTCTCAGACGCCACCTCTGAAGAACTGTCCGTATATGTGTCAAATCAATACGTTACTTCGAGGGACACAGTATACTGTGATATGTCCATTTATGCATGCTATATTAACTAATTCTTGTAAGTAAATACCTGTCCTGAAATCTCAGGTGCTCTATTGGCAATAATAAAATGAAATCTCTGGCTAAAAATTTATTGCGAATTGTTTTTGACTACGTTCACTTCGAGCAAAAATATAAAAATTTCCCCCACCTCACTGAAGGCAATCGTGAGGAAATGCGAATGCATTGCAGAGCGTACATAAATGAGTTTCGCACGTGAGAACCCAGCGCCAGAATATTCTTTTTTTTTCTTACACCGTGCAGCTAATAAAGCCGTTCGTCACACGTGGCATTTTTCTGTCGTGAGAAATGCGAGTGCGTTTCCAGCTCTAGTAGCTAGCGTGCACGGCTAAAAATACTATGAAGTGAACAGAACAAACAGCGTTCTCGGCTCGGTGTTCGCGCTTCCCAGCGGCGTCTCGAGCACATATTTCCGGATGTTCTTGAGAGGCGCCCTGCCAGCGAACGGTCGAGAGTGAGGCGCGAGCGGCCGGGAAAATGAGGCGCAGGGAGGCGAGCGAACGGCGAGAGGAGCGGCGAAACACTGCACCTACCCTCTCTTACACTTTCGCACCACATGCTCCGGTTGCTAGGGGCAAGGATAAGCGCTGGCGGCCTCATCTGCTCGCTGTGGGAGAGGGCGAGCGAAAGCGGCGCCGCGGACAACGCCGGATGCCTGACATAGGCCGACTAAGAAATGCATTCGCATTTTACATTCGGCAGATCCCACGTACCTTGGGAATCGACGTCATATGCGAGGCATGCGGAGGGAAGGCGACCATGTGGCAATTTTTTCCATCGAGCGAACACGTTATGGATGACGCTAAATATGCGTGCAAGTGTTGTACACACAGACATACATTGAACATTCGCGAATGTATATATTGTGACGGCCTTCACGGTCGCACAGAAGAAGTGAGACATCCCTTCCCATCTTGGTGAAACGTTATCGTGTTGCGTGTAAGAAAGTGGTGCGATGGTGCGAGACCGAGCCCTAGAGGCCGCGCAGTCGCTGATATATAGTTGTTTGACCTCCAGGGAAGCACTAGTCGCTTCTCTGTGCAGATTTCAAGCTGCGCTCGCGTCCCACACACTATAAACAGTTGTTTGCACTTGCGCAACGATGCCAGCAGGAACATGCGTATCAGGCAACAGCCAGAAGCGATAAGCTGATATGAAGCTCTGGTGCTAGCGAGGATGGTAGCCCTGGATACTGCTAGAATAATAAACTTGAGCGGATGGCACCCAATACCATTGACGTTAATCCGACGTGACGGCTGTATAGGAGTACATATGCAATGTTTATGAAAGTGCATTGCTGGGGCTCAATTCCTGCTGAGAACCTGACGTTTATTCGATACAGTTGTCGGGTCAACGCTGCTGTCTGCTACCGGCGGCAGCTACCTGTGCGTGTCATTGCCGTTCCTGGATAGAATAAGTGTCAATAACATGCGACACATACCCACCTGCGGGTATGTGCCACTGATTGGCATAGTGTTTCACGACATACGCATTTAGACACTAATCATGTCTTGACCAGCACGTCATGTTCGTCAAGCAATCTTACCTTCCCATACTGATTTGGTCCACGCCATGCTATGGAGTTGATCCCGAGAGCATTCAGACGTAAGCGGAAAGATACGTAGATAGACGCCAGAAGTGCTTGCAGTACGAAAAGTTAAAAGTTATACGTTTTACAATGCTTGCTGGAAGCGGCACGTCGAACGTCGTAGTGCCTTGAGCGAAGTGATCATATCGAACAGTGCATTGCAAAATGAAATAAATTGAAGACAAATTTATTATGCAAAAGGTTCAACATCTCAAGCGCGATATATCTTGAAGACTCGAATGAACCAGGATCCTACGCGAGCAGCACAATGCGCACTCGAAGTCCCTAGAAATGTCTAGAAAAACGGGGACTTCACGCACATTAAGAAGCGACATGGCATAATCCGCACACAGTGACAGCAGTGATCAGTGGACATGTCACAAATTTTTTTATTACTCCTTTTTCATTTTTATACAGCACATCACCCATCCTCACAGTTTGTGACAAGTGATGCTTTACAAGTCACTGGTTAATAGTTAATAATTAAGGGTGAAGGTGTTCTCTCACGAAATGAAAACAAAAACAAAAGGTGTCATCTAGCGACTCACGTTTCAGGCGCTGCCAGTGTTTTCTTCACCACCGGCTTTTCACAGTGAGTCAGGAAAATAAAGGACGAGGCGGTGTGAATAATAAAAAAAAAGGTTCTCCACAAGGCAGAGGAGGTAATAAACATATAAACAACAGACCACACTCCATCATTACTTCAGTCGTATTATATTCACGTACGTCGTTTTTTTTCTTACCCCAGGATCAACAGTGTATCATCGCCCAAACATCATCACCTACGCTGTGTGAGGTGGGCAAGTTACACATACGAAGTCAGAAAAGTAAAACTCGCTACCTCAACGAACTGCGCTATTTACTTGTATGTTACACATTCAACGGCAGCTGTGGGAAGAGAAAAGGTAGGGAAGGGTCAGAAGGAAAGTCAGTATGCCGGAAAAAGGAACCTCCGGAAGCGTATATATCAGCTTTTTTTTCTCCTCCCACTCCACCGAACACTTCCTGTCTTGTTCGCTTTCAGTGCAAAGGGGCGATACTCTGGACACAACATTCCCGCCATCATCTTGCCCAAGTCCGCCATTCCTGTCCCCAACCAATTGGAAAAAGCACACCGTTACTTAATAAAAAGCAAGACATTACAAAGTGGCGGACCAGGCCACTAAAACCGGCATGTGTCCGGAATTGCACCCGAGAAATGCAGCAGGAAGGATTATAGTAGTGGAAACTCTTCGCTCTCGCAGTCTGCGACGTCTCGTGAGACATCGATGCACAGCGCTCCTTCACGACGCAGGCGTGTACTATGAGCATAGCCCCGAACGTTACAAAGAAAGAAGATGACTCGATCCTCTCCGGAAATAAACCTACACGGCTATGACGACTTTACGCGGACACTGCTTGGTCCAGCGCCACGTCATTTGACGTATTTCTGGTGGTCATGCTGCCACAGTCGCCCCAACGTGTCACCCCACCCCCCGTATCTCTGGCAACGGGTTAACAGGACGGCACGCAACCGCTAGCTTGCAAAATAAATGTTGCTCATCAAAGCAAGACCCTCCTTCCAGTACCCTTCTAATTTCCAGCATCCTTCAGGGTCAGAAAGAACAGTTATTGTATGACTGGGAGAGAAGCGAGAGAAGTGGACAGAGGCTTGTTGTAGAGGAAGTGACGACCATGCAAGGCATAAAGTGTACAAAGTCTTTGGAAAACTGTTACTCACAAGAAACTGTGCAGTTAAGGCTAACTTGCCACGGTGACGAAACGACCGACGTCAAAAAGCGTTGCATGGCAGGAAAAAAAATGAACTGCCGCTCGTTCGAAGACATCTTTACAGGAGAGGCTCGCCACTGCATAAAGGTTCGATTACTCCATCCCACTACATTTGTCCGCCGCAGAACGCTTATGCTTCCCAGGTACCGCAGACTTTCAGAGGTGAACAATGAAAGATGGCGAGAAGTGAACACAATGAATTACAATGAACAAACAGGAGGGAGGGAGTTCAAGAAATGCGAACAAACTTATGGGTGAAATGAAGTTTTCGGGAGGTGCCACCGGTCCAAAAACGGATCTTCCCGGATTTGAAATTCGGGCCGACGTATCCTTATGGTAAGAACTTTCGACACACGCTGGCGCACACACACATCACTCCTGTTGATGCAAGGGCTGTTCGTCCGGAGCCGAAAAATCCATTGCGACGATCGACGATTGAACATAGCTCGGACAAGCGAGGCCATTGGTTTAAGCCGAACTGAGCCCATATATGCGAAACCTGCAGCAACTCAGTCCTAGCAACTAAAGTTGCTTTTCTATATATATATTTATATATATATATATATAACAAAAAGAAATCTCAGCAGGTTGGAAAATGTAGTGGTGAATGCTGAAACAATTGCAGACATGACACTATTGATCAAAATGTTTCCTTCTTGACAGTTTCAAGAGCTAGTTCCAATCTCCAAATGATTCACACATTGCAGTTAGTGAGGTCCTCCACACACAAACATCATTGCTACATTTATTCAGAAATAATGTTAATCATAAAAAAATGCATGACAGCAAATAAAATTAGACAGGAAAAACCACTGGGGGTAGTGAACCGAGATTTGCATTGCAGGCTTTAACAATGCTGTACTCAATGTACTCTAATGCAAAAATTTTTATGGCTCTTCAAACTTCTTACTACCTCTTAATACAAAAAAAAAAGTACCGCTTATAAACCAGAAAAAGTGGCCCGTTACTTTTTCACCTCAAGCACACCTCGTATTATAAAAAAAATCACTCCGAAGGACGAAACATAATTTAAGATGCATGACTAACACATTTGGCATCACCGAGGCTAAACTCCCAGACAAATTATGGCCCGCACCATTTATCCTAGTACTAGACGGCATGACTCGCATAGAAATTGCAGAAGAAAATGAAGCAGAAATTCATTGCACTGCGCCTAAATGGGCAAGGTAAATGTGGGAGTGGAAAGCCATGTTGCAGACATGTCAGACGTTGTTTCCACACTGCACTGTGCTTTCGTGTACGCAGAAACTGGCATCTTCCCTAACCTGCCAAAGCGAGCATCTCTCGCGCTGTCTGCCTGCAGACTCTGCTTCAGCTCCTGTGACTACCGCATTCTCTGCACTGACAGCAAGCGTACATATGCATTCAAAAATGTGCATTGCAAAAAGCTTGCTCACTACTACCACAAATTATACGAGAAAGCCCCTTTTGCAAATTTGCACAACAAATGCAGTCTTGCTTGCAAAGTAGTTCAGTGCCCACCAAAAGAGCACTGATGTTATAAAGCGGTCCCCGTAACCATTTCAGACTGTGACACCGCATTTCAAGGCCCTGAACTACAACGCGACCTACAGGCACGTTACAAAGACACACCGTTGAAGACTGTTCCCTATGAGCGCGGCAGCTAAAATTTAGTGATATGACATTATACCGCAAGTTTGCAACCACATCTAGTATACATACAAAAAGAAACCGTGTAGATGTGCTTTCGAGCAATTAACACTACTCTACATCTAGACGTCACAAGGTTATGCTGAAAATGAAACGTTCTGTATCACACTCTGCGTACGATCAAAAATGCAGATACAAAAAAAAAACTAAGTACCACGCTACACACAGAGTAGAGCTAATAATATGGAATCGGCATCATCTCTTTCGAGCAACCGCAATGTCTTCAACGTTTTGTGTTGAGCGCGGTTTTCGAGGATGATGAAATGATGTTTACTGGCCACTGCTATCAGTTTATCTGGCTTGGACAGAGAAAGATGGCAACTATCCAGCACAGTCGATGGGGCACCCAGAAATAAACAACACTGCTATGCAGGAGCCGTCCAGTAAATTTCAACTATTCCGCGACTTCAGCTACGCCATCGCAACTTGATGGGAACTGTGAATTTCCAGTTGTCTTATAATCAAATGACTGCGTAAGCAAGCACAAGCTCATTCAAACGCTTCCTAGCATCCTGACTACAAGTGGTAGCCATACCGTCACAGCAAATAAAACAGACCAATGACACAAACCCATATTCCAACCTTGTTTCACAACGATGTTGTTATGCACAACACAGTACGCACTCGTCTGTTAATCACATGGTTTGCATCGAGAAAGTGCTGTGAAACAATTTCTAAAAAAACAAAAAAGACTTGACAAAAAGCCCATTTAACGATGACACTCACCGAGAAAGAAAAAAGAACAACAATACACTCCTTTTCAGAGTTAACTTCTCACAATGTGAAAAACACTTCGCTACAGGCTTGCATCGCACGCAACAAATCCGATCAAGAGTCTGTAGAGAAACAACAACAGGAAAAAAAGAAAGAAAGATAGGTATGAACTCGCTGTACACAGATATTCTGCACAAGACACAGTACCGTAAGAAAAAAAAACTAAAGTACGCATGAATACGAAAAGTAAATGTGCCGACCCAGGCCACTTTTGTCGTTTGGTGCGACAGTGATCCTTGAAACAATGGTGGCAAGCGAAAAAGGGTAAGAAGACAATGAAGCCCTAAGACATGCAAGCATAGCAGTATGGAAAAAAAAAAAAACGGGATCATCATACTACACACTGTCACACTTTCGTCTTTTTAGTTTCTGGCTCTGCGTCCATCGCTTTTTCCTTCACGGCCGTTGCCGTCAGTGGTGCGTCTCGTCCTATTCCCCTCCGACTCATCCCTTCAACTCTCGCATCCGTTGCAGCACAGCATCGCCGAAGGTTCCAGCTGGCGCACGGCACTTGCCACACACTGCCTCTCTGTCGTCACTTCCGTGTCGTCGCAACTAGTCACCACACTAGACTGCCACCCACGAACCGCGGCAGATAACTTAAAAGGGCACAGGGAAGAACGACGCGGGTCTTGTGGAGGCACAACACATTCAGGATAGCTCAGAGAGGCAGCCAAAGGTGGATCTAACCATACGTTTCTGTCGACCAATCGTTGTTTAAAGACGGAATGGGACGTTGGGATATGAAGGCAGCTGCGTTGCGGCTTTCAGCGAAGCAGGAGACAAGAAACTAACAGCCTGCCGCATTCCAAAGCAGCATACAGTAAACACAGCAAGCCTGACGTGGTGGTGGCGGCGGTAGCTGAAAACCAGAAGCTTGAGGCTGATAAAATACTTGACAGCTAAAGATGCAAGCATGGAAATGTAGCCCCAGAAGCATTTCAGCAGTTTCTCCTGCTGCGCAGAAAGCCTCGCCTTGAGCGCCACATACAAGTCGGTGGGCAGCACAGGCTTGACAAGCTCTAGTGCTGGGGGGAGAAGAAAGAGGGTTTGGGAGAAAACTAAGAGAACTAGACATGAAAAATGCATTAGTTAAGCCGGGAGGGGGAAAAGCTTTGGGGAAAAAATTTTGTAATAAATGCGAGCAGGCTGTCACCACCTTTTTTTTCTCGCAAATTGAATTGTTGCCACTGTTTCTTTTCCATGCTGGTGCTTCTTCAGTCGTCGACTTGTGGCGGTATAACCTCTTTCCTCTCTTTGCTGAGAGAGAGCATGGCCCTTGACGTCGTCCCTCGCGCGTCTTGGAAAGGCGGGCGGGCGGTGGAGGATGGAAGGGCATGAGGGGTACCGCCGGCGCAAAGAAAGCAGATAAAAAGAAAGTTGAGAAGCTAGTTGCTGCTGCCACCGCTGTTTGTAGGTGGCGAGGTGCCCGGACGGGAGGAAGAGGACGCCACCAACGCGGAGTTTCCAGCCGTGGCGTTGTTGCCTGCCACCCGGGACCTGTGGTTCAGCTCAAGCTGGGACAGCCGCTTCCAGAGCTCATCTCGTTCCTTCTCGCGCTTCTTCTCCCTGTGAAAAGGTAACAGGGAAAACGGACATCCTCTAATCAAAAGAACAATAGACCACATTCAAGTCGTGGCAAAGAAAGCAACTCTCAAAAAAGAAAAAAAAAATACTTCGGACATCTTTCTCCGAGTAAGAATAAGTGTCATCCAGCTTACCTCCGTTTTCTATCCCAAAAACTGTGCACTCTGTACTCTGCTACCGAAAACAGGGTACCTTGATGCCAGCGTTCCTTAGTAAAGAATGGTGACATGTGCCATTACATTTCGCCGGGGTACATATAGACCAGCTCAACGCAGCAGCACAATAAACAGGTGCGCACATGCATGTCCATGTCTACCGATCTGACACAATTTGGTCGCAGAGCGGTTAATGGATGTCACCACCCTTAAAACAGGAGCTAACGCCGACATCGGCGCAGGCATGCCATGTCACTCCCTCTAGTGAACACGTAGTCTGTGACCGAGAAGTACTGGATATTAAAACTGTTTGCAACTGGGCTTATTGGTAATCTTGCATGTCAAATGGTTGCAGCTAAATTTATACGTACACACAAAGGAACCGTCTTCGTATTTCTTTGAGGCAATGTTTAAATTTAGCTGCAACAATTCGACATACTGGACATGCAGCGCTGACGCGAGGCAATGTGTGCCACTGTTTTGTGGCACAAAGACACCCTAAATATGCTCGGCCAAGCACAATGATGTACAATGTATACATTTCAAAGCAAAATCAGTGAACGAAACAGCGAAATATGATTGCCAAACAGACAAAAAAAAAGAACAGACACTGGCTGAGGCTCACACACTGCATCGAAAGCTGGAACCACATGGAGTGTTTTTTGCGGGTAGAAGACATGACACGTTGCATTCATTGTTTTGCCGTGGCTACGAAACTGTACTGTGCAGTCACCAACGTCACAGAAAGCGCATCAGGTGATGATGATGATGATGATAGAAGCCTGCTCGAGTGCGCCACGTCGCAGATGACGGCCCATGAAGGCACCAAAGACCGCATAGGAGCATTTCCAGCGCAATAGTGCGGGCAACATGGCGCAGCCACTCAACCCCCGGAGTTCGGCGAGAACTCGCACGGTTCGGCGAATTTTTGTGGTTTTTGCAGACTGTGCAAGGTTCCTCCGAAAAACACCAAGCGCATGCTACCGCACGCCTGCATTGTTGCCACATGCAACACCGCAGCCACAACCGATGCAACAGTGCCAGCCAGTAGCAGCAAAAGGAGAGCACTGACCTCTGCCGCTCAGACTTGTAAGCAGACGTGAGCTCGTCGAAGAGCTTGGTGTTCATCTCCATGAAGGTCTTGAGCACGTTGTAGACGAGCGCCACGATGGTCTGGTTCCAGTGCTCCTTAGAGATGCGGTACAGCGCCGGGAACATGAGCGGCATCACCACCTGATTGTTCTCCTCAATCAAGCTTAGGATGTACTCGTTGTTCCAGAAGTACAGTGCCCGCTCTGCCACCTGGAGGCGGTGAAGAGAGAGATTGGGAGAAGTTGCACAGGATTACCAAACATGTTCGTACATTGCGCTGATAACAGTATACACAGACTTTTCTGTCGTCTGATTTATGTAACGTTTCATTTCGTGCAGTAATCAATCTGAAACACTAGCTTTTACTGTTGTTTCATATGAAATAAGATGAAAAATGCTGAACACTGAATTTCTACCTAAAAATATCACTTCCTTGTGGTTTATCAGGTTTAACACTCAAATGCGATTCTAGCCACGAGAGGCACAGTAGTGGAAGGCGATTTCAATTGCCTTGCCTGGGGTTCTCCTACATGCACTAACATCGGACAGTACACTACCTCTTGCTTTCCGCCTCTATCTATAATATTAATATTATCCGAGGCTTTACATCCCAAAACCACCATATCACCACAAAGTATGCCATAGCAGAGGACTCCCAGAATTTAGACCATCCGATGTTTTTAATGTGCACTGAGATCGCACAGAACACAAGCCTCTGGCATTTCACCTACATCAATGCGACCATCACATCTGCGATCGAACCTGCGACCTTTGCAGCAGCAGCCGAGTAGCACAATCACTACGCCACCTTGACTGACCCCCACCCCTATCAGAACACAGCCACCATAGCCGGGATTGAATGTGCACCTTTCAGGCCAGCACTCTAAATACTGAACCACTACTTTTGCCATGTAAACATTACTCTAGTACGTCTTAATTGACACAGCATAGTCAAGACGCTGGCACTTGGCTTTCAAGTGAAACGCAGCCCACAAAGACAAAAGGAAGGAAAGGAGTGCTCACCTGAAAGTGTGGGCTACAGACACACTTGGCTATTTGCTTGAAAAGGGGTTCCTGAATCCTGGCAAATTGCGTTGGCTCTATCACGTCGAGGATCTCTTCTATTTCCCCGAGAAACATTACCTGCAAGCAGAGCAAAGTCAAGGTCATGCCACAGATTAGATAGAATGGAGGGGTAATCCCTAAGATAAAAAAGAAAGCTGCTGGGAAGAAAATTTGCCAAGGGAGCAAGCAAACAACTGCACTGTTCCCCATCCAAATCGCATCCCTGCTCTCATTGGTACAATAAAGTTCCAACTCTATGTACAATATCATTAAAAGTCAAAGTCACTTGATCATCAATACTGAAATCGGTACAAGTCACCAGTACAATACCAGATATACCCACGTAATGACCGCTTTTTTTTTTTTTCCGCGAAAAATTGGTGCAAAGTTAGGGGTCTGTTTATTATGCCGAGCAAATTTCATGAAAACTTTTTTGGAATCGGCAAACAATGCGGTAATGCAAAAACCTTTAGGCTGCTTAACCTTTTCGCAATTCACTTACGCGTACACAGTTTGGGAACAGCTTCTTTGTTGCAATTTGCTCATTATTGGTGGTTCATGGCAGCATCTTCTGCAAGCTGTCCTCACACCGCCTGCCTGCATCGACAGCGCACTAAATAAAAGAGCTTCACGTCTTGTTTTTTTTTTCTCGCAACCTTTTAACCGTAACAGTGGTATATTCTGTGATCTCGAGGGGCGCTTGGAAGCGTGCGCTACTACGCACTTCGCCAACACTATGGCAACCTCACACGACTACCACGCTGCCGCATTTACATTGCAGCGAGTAACCAGCATTACAGCAAGATACCAACAAAGCATCAAAACAAGCCACCAATAACTAGATTAATGACACAATACGGCAGCTGCATCGTTGTCAGCATGAGAAATGACTCTAGAAAAGGTAGCCTATATTTCTCGTTCCTTGAAGCAAGCATGAATAACAAGCATGAAGAGCAAAGAGCAGCTTAAGCAAGAATCAAAGGTTTTACCATGTTGCCAAAATTGTAGCAGCTCACGATCTTTTCTGGGCGACAAGAGATATTTTCCGATTTCCAGAAATCTGCGATGCGATGGTAATGAATGGGCCTTCGCAACAGCCACGACAGCAAATCCTGTCGTCATCGTGCAAAAATCCCGTGCTTAATGTTTCCTATTTGCAGGAAGCGACCGTTGTACATGAAATGCACGTTGCATTTGCAAAAAGAAAGAGGACATGCCGCGCACAGATCACAGATAGAAAAAACATTGGAGGCAAAGGGTGAACGTGGCGTGCCGTAGTGGTCAGCTGCGATGTCTCTACACTCGCATCATTCGTGAACCTCGCTGTGGTGCACGAATAATTAAAAAAGAAGGGGGACGTGCCACGCACAGAGAAAAAAACCTGTGAGGCAGCAGGTGAAGGTGGCATGCCATAGTGGCCGAGAGGAGTCGGCATAATACAATACAGAAAAGGTCTAACGGGCAAGGCGGCACCAGGTGTCGGTTTGGGGGACTGCACTCCATCAATGTAAGGAGTGTGTGTATTACGCAACAGAAAAAGAAATGCACATTTTAAGGGGGGAGGCTACCATCGGATACCAACTTTTTTGTTTATTGAGATATCTTAATGAAATTTTCAGGATAGACTTATAGCAAAAGCATTAGAAGAACTACAAAATTTCATCAAGTTATGTTCACTGGTTTTCAAGTTACAGCAAAATATCAGGGTAGTGCACATGGTTCTCTTATTCCAGGCCTGGAGAACTTTCAAAAGGTGCTGGAACTGTGAAATTAACTATGATGATTCCCAGATTGATACTCCAGGGGGTAACAGAGCCCTTTTTTTGAATTTCCTTGGTGAAAAGTTTTAGCAGACCATCAAACTTTGTGTTCGTGATTAGGATATTATCAATCAAATTTTGATTAAATATAATAAATAACACACACAATATATTGAAAAAATGGGCTTGTCACCCCCTCAGAAATTTATTCATGTACATAATAAAGAAAGACTTATGGAAATCCAATGAGTGGTTCCAGAGATATGGCTGGAATAAGCAGCCTCACTAGCCAAAAAAGTGATTTTGAGAAAACGACGTTTGAAAGTTTTGAGCACATAGGCAGTTCTAAAATGAACCTGCAGCGTAACTGGAGGTGTCCTTTGGCACTCTCTTTCTTTGCCGCCTTTCCATCTTTTCTAGGGATCGCTTCTTAGCCTTTTTCAAGCGCAGAGAATCTTTCTCGGCTGCCCGTTGAATGGCCAGGTGGCCAGGTGTTAGCCCCACTGATGAAGCTAGCTCTTGGGTGGCCCTGTAGCAGCCAACATTGTATCTTAGCACTGCATCATGCAGTGCTGTCTCCACAGCAATCAGTGACGCATGCTGCTCTTTGGGCATGAGGGACCGCAGCACAGAGTGAAAGGACTCTGATGCATTCTGCGTCTTTGCTCACAGGCAGCGTTGCAGAAGAGAAGCCTGTGAGAGCCTCTCATAAATGGGTAGAAGTGCATCTGCAACATAGCGTGGCAGCTTGTACGAATGCTTCGGAGGTGAAACACCGGTAATCTTGCTGTCATTGCGACGACACCAGGAGTCTGCACCCTCTGGGCACAAGTCGTGGTGCGGCTCCTCATCCGTCGACATCACATGGTGGTACGATGCCATCACTGCCCGCCGCATTGCAGCCACATCATCGGAATTGTTCCGTAGGGCCCAGCCATAATAATCTGTCAACTTGTCGATGAGGGCCTTTGTCAGCCTGCCCTTCCCTCCCAAAGCCTTGTCACTTTTCTGCACAAGGTTGCGAAGGGCAGTCCCCATCCTCTTCTGAACCTGGTTCAGGCATTCCTCTTTTGAAATGGGGACCAGTCCATAAACATTTTCTTGTACAAGGGCAGAGAATGTGGCACTATCTCCATCAGACACGAGCGTTGTGTAACGGAGGTTGTGCTTCGACAGTGAGCGTGAAAAGAGGATGATAGCTGCCTCAACCTCCATTCTCCCCGATTTAAAGTCGGTGTTTTTCTGGCACACATGATTCTCCAGCCAGCATGCATAGTCTGCGTCTCCAGGCTTTGGCCCTACTTGGCAACTAAGGCACTGATTAGACAGAACAACGGCGTCCAAGATAAGGCCCGTATGGTATTCGATAATTGCCCCGACTCCAATATGGGATGTGTGCCCACGCTTGTGCCATGTTCCATCATAACAAACTGTTATATCCCTGGTGAAATATTGATCCATTTCTTTGTAAGTGGCTTTTACAGCAGAAGCAGATTCTGCATAGAAATTTTCTATGCATTGTGTCTGCGGTTCCCTGAATTTCTTCAGGTGCTTCTGAAAGGTCTTGTGATGGAGGCCACAATGGGACACGTTCATCGCTGCCCAAAAGTCGTTGAGAGCTGTTTGTCCCTTGCCTATTTGTTTTGTTGCCATAATGGCTCTTACATTCACATCAAAGGCCTTTGTGTCATCCTGACGAGATGAACTCCATGAGCTTGAAACTACTCAACAATGCAAGCATACTAGCTCAAGCTTTGCAGCAAGTCCAAGTTGGGTGCCTCCTCGTACCTTCATCCCAATCGCGGTGCACCGGTGGCACGGGGTCCGAGATAGCAGGTCGTCTAGGGCATCCATTTGCTCAAGGAAAAATTTTTCGCCTTCACTTGTAGCGGTGGCAGCTTCATGATCGCGCTCCATTGCCTGAAATTTCCGCTCCGTCGCTGGCATAGCGCCAAGTTCTCTTTGCACAGCAGCGCGTTGTTGATCCGCCGCCTCTTTCTCCTCGCACGTCAGGAAACTTGTTCGCAAATGCACAGTTGACGACGCGATCGCACTCGAGGCCGATGAAAGAGAAGATGCGGAAGCCACTGTCGATGAGCAGGAGACACCAGGCGCACTTGTAACGACAAATTCTTGCACCGGCGGAGCAGGAGTCCCGTTGCTAGGCGCGTCGATGCGACCACTCTCTTGCGTAGATGAAGCAGAAGCTGCCCCACAGGTACCGTCGGCGCACGTGCGAGCGGAGAGCCTCGCCGCGCGGACAAGCTTCATAGCTCGCTTCCTTGCACCGAACAATTGTAGCGTCTTCTTTTTCGTTGGGCGCATCGTGAGCGAACACAACAACGGTCTTGTATAGACGGTTGAAAATCCTCTCGTAAAGACGGTTGAAAATCGTTTCGAAGACAGTTGAAACGTGGAGAGTATGCGAACGGCTGCAACGATACACGGAAGCGAGCGGAACACAAAGACGCCGGACGGAGTAGCAGCAGACGAGCGGCCGCATCGGCCGCATTATGCGCAAGAGCGCTACGTCATCGCGCGCAGCAGCCAATGGCAGTCGCGGGCTCCCCCGCGTCCTTGGGGAGCGCGCGCTTCGCCTAATCCTAGCTGCGCGCCTCAGCCGCAGGAAACTTGAAAGCTCTCGCGAGCCCTCCAATCATGAGCGGCTTGCTCCTCTCCTGCGCTGCCGCCGGCAACGCAGGTGGCGGGGAAAGAAAGAGCAAGAATTCACAAACAAAACAACACCAAAATGGCGGCGCTCCGTCGAGCGGTCGAGAAACTGTGATCACGCCAAGTTGGGGTATTTTGAGCGCTCGCGCGCCGCTCGAGGGCCGCCGCGGCATGTTCTAAACTTTATTTCAAATGGTTTCGCGACGAATTAGACGTTGATATTTACAGAAAAGGTAGTTTATGACACATACTGCCCGAATATGTGGTTTGCCAAAAATCGACTTTTTCGCGATTTTTCGGTTTTCAAAGGCCGCGTCCCCCCTTAAAGGGCCACTCACCAGGTTTGACAATTTTGCGTGGATGAGGCGTTCATGATCACGTCTGCCAAAATCTGCAACACTACGCACCGCGGAAGTGGGTCAAATTTCAAGATGAAAGGTGCTCCCCCTCCCCTCTGCCGGCGCACGCGTAGAGACTGATGGCATGACGTGGGCGTAGGAATGGCCCTACATAATGGCAATGCGGTGACATTGGTCCTCTACGTAGACGACTCTGCTCTGACGTTGTCAACAGTATACCACCTGACATGGCAAAAATTATTTAACACAACATGCATAGTTTATGTATTAGTTGCTTTAAAAGATGAAT